GGTGATAAGCTGAGTCAAAAGGGAAGTGGTGCACAGCAAGTGAAACTCCACTGTCTTCTACTTTGAGCCTGCAGTAGACACACGAGTGTAAGTGCAAGAGTTGTGCCAAGGGACACTGATGCAGAATGTCTATGGATGCTGCACTGAGGTCCTCCAGGAGACATACCTCCTGGAAACTCTGTAGTTTTAGGTGTATGGACTGATGTGGGGACAGTCTGAGTCAGAATATGAGGCTGAGTTTGCTGACGAAGAGGTGAGGAATGGGCATAGTAATGTGTTTGGCACTGGGATCTGGAAAGGGCATGGGTGCTCCCAGAGCCACAAGATGTGAAGAAAGGGAAATACAGCACTGCACTGAACAGTTACTCCTTGGGAAAAGGACTTATTTAGGAAAAGGCAGATCTCACTCTGCTTGCTGATGCATCAGCTGCGCATTACTGCAAATTACAGTGGACTTGAAAAAGAAATCTGTTCTAAAGCTACATTTGTACTCCTTGCATGCAATCTTTATTTCCTTTCAGAATCACAGAATCATTAAGGCTGTAAAGGCCTCTGAGATTTTCTAGTCCACCATCAACCCATCCACACCATGTCCACTGACCATGTCCCTCAGTGCCACATCCACATGGTTCTTGAGCATCTCCAGAGACAGGGACTCCACCACCTCCCTGGGCAGCCTGTGCCAATGCATCACCATCCATTCTGAGAATAAATGTTTCCTAATATCCAACCTGTACCTCCCCTGGAACAACCAAGATCATTAATAAAGATATTAAACAGGATGGGGCCCGAAACTAACCCCTGAGGAATGTGAGTGCTTACAGTCAGAGCAGAGCTGGTCTCTTCTCAGTGGTGACAGGTGACAGGACGAGGGGAAATGGCCTTAAGATGCACCAGGCTAAGTTTAGGTTGGGTATCAGGAAAACCTTTTTTACAGAAAGGGTTGTTAAGCACTGGAATAGGCTCCCCAGGGAGGTGGTTGAGTCACCATCCCTGGATGTGTTTAAAAACCAATTGGATGTGGTGCTTAGGGATATGATGACTTAGCAGAGGGTTGTTGGAGTTAGGGTAATATGGTTAGGTTGTGGTTGGACTTGATGATCTTTACGGTCTTTTGCAACCTGAGCAATTCTGTGATTCTATAATTCCATTTCAACTTCATGAACTAAACCAGATTTCTCTTGCAAGTGCAGTCTTTAAATATTGCTTTCCTGCCATCCAAAATAAGTACTTCACCTCCTGTTGATGTCCTCTGGAGGAGAACTACAATTCCTCATCCATTTATGCAGATTTGTTATCTGCATTCATCTACAGGTTGCAAAAGCCTGATGATAAACTCACTTTTCTTCCCTCTTGCCCATGTGACTAGGTGCTCCTAGAGAGGAAATAATTTAGATTGGCAACTGCTTACTGAGATGCTTCCTATTATTTTGCTTATCTTCCTGTAAGTGTGTTCAGAGCAAATGTTTAGTACGCCGCAGATAATGTAGTTACCGATAATGGATCCTTGCTGCTAGGGGACGTGCAGTGATTTACCTTCATCGAATTAAATCAGAGCAGGTGTTGCCAGCTCACTTCCAAATCCAAAGGTGAGCAGGTGCCAGTAAGTTGCATCTGGCACTGGGAGCAAACAAATCCAGGCTGGAGAATTGTTGAATGAGGTGATTTCTAATTTGGTGCACAACCTAGGCAATTAGCAGCAGCTTTCCAAATGTTCTTTTGCATACTCCTCTCCTACCTATTTAAACAATGGGACAGAGGAACACTGCTAGAAAGCAGGGTCTAGACTAGAGACCTTTGCAAATACTGTATGTGACACTTAGACATTTTCTTTGTATTTGATAAGGAACTGTGCAGGTAGTTATGTTCCAAAGGGAGATTCCTCATCTTGGAAAGACAGAGGAGGAGATTGCTGATCAGAGCAGGGCAGAAGTACACGATACATAGTAGTGACTGCACAGACTCCTGGCTTTGGGAACACTTCTCTATTGCCAACTGCCTGCCACAAGAATGAAATGTCACGGCAGTAGCTGGGCGATTTTCTTAGGAATGCTCTGACACTGAATATCAATTTATGGGTGGAGACCTGTTAATTTCAGGGCTTGATGTGAAGTTAGACCTTTGCTTCTTCCTTAGAGGAATACACTGGGACAATACTTTGGTAATGATTCGTGCCTACATCTGTCCTTCTATATTTGGCTAAAATCAGTGTTTCTGAAAACTTGGATTAAGCTCTCTGCTTGCTGCAAGTAAAAGCATTTTTGACTAAGTCATTTTCCATTAAACACAGCTCTGCCAGGTCAGTAAATCACACAAATAATGTTAATCACTTTTTGGTCATGTTTAATGGCCTTAAATTGCCTTAGAAATCGCTTCACCTAATTTTATTTCATTTGGGCTCTAGAAGGGGTCCAGCCGCAAATAACCACTCTCAGAATCAAGGCTGAATTACTGCAAGTACTTCGGTAAAGGTAAGAAGGCAGATCCTCAGATCATATAAATTGGTGCAGCCCTGCTGATGCCTGTGATGTTATGGTGATTGATACCAGCAGGGCCGTAATACAGCTAAAGTAAATGGTCTGCAGTTTTAAATGCCTGCTGCTAATGGGTCCCATGGTAAATCAATGGCTGACTTGTTAGTTATTTTCTCTTTAAAATGGACTCGGAAGGTACATTAATGGAGAAAAAAAACAGCTTAGCAGAGCAGTGGCCAATACAGGTAGAGCTGGAGCCAATGTAGTTCACATTTGCATTTAGACGTAGAGTCTGATTTGTTACCTTTGCAGATGACCATGCCAATGTGCAATAGGTCTAAGAGAGGCTGGCCCTAAGCCCAGCAGACCAGCCACTGCTCTGGTGTGAGCTGAGGACATAACCTCCTGGGGTTTGGATCTTGCACATCTCTGGGCTCTTGAGAATTAAAGCCTACAGGCAACTTCATGCTGCTTTTCAGACATCTTGAAGTGAAGCAATGAACAGATGGCCCTGAGCACCCTTCTAGTGGAATGAGAGCAGGAGAGAGCTACCAAACCTAGGTGGGAAACAGTTTCCTCACCCTGTCAGAGCTTTCAGGAATTCCAGTATTTTTCCTATCTCCCACCAGGGATGAAAGGTCCCTTTAAAACTTGGATGAAAATCTCCAAAATACAATCACAACAGGGCCAAACTAAATATTTTACTTTAATAATGTTCAAAGAGTGTATTTTGATTGTGACCTTCCTAAGCAGTTGCCTCTCTTTAGTACAAAAGGAACGTGGGGTTCTTGCTTGTTTCTTTCAATTAGAAATAAAACTTTTCACTTAGAAAATGTCAAAGCAGCAGTTCTTGATCACTGAAAGGTTCTTTTGGATTTTTTTTTAAGCTGAGAGACTTTTCGAAAACAAACGTTTACCATCAATCAATTTCAGCTTTGACAGATCACCGCTTTGTTCCACTGTGGGCAGAGACAGAAGAAAATTTCAGTCCCAAAATTCCTGACCGCTTCTAGCAATTGTTACCTCGGTTCTGATCTTATGTTGCCTTACATGGGTTTCAGTCCAGATAAATTAGGCTACGCTGGGCAACGAAGCTGCAGGAAGTGCTTTCTTTCCCCCAGCTCATTTTTAAATGAATACTTTAATTTAATCTTTCTTTCTTTTATTTATTTTTTTTTTTTTATCAGTGACCAACATGATTTATAGAGCCTCTAAGTTATTTATATTCTGTTTGCATGATTTAGTGTCCTAAGTGAATGCAGTTTGGTTGAAAATGGCTTAATGAAAAATGGTTTCTTTATAGCATAGTTGGAGCTTAATCTATGTTTTCAAAAATCGTTCTCATTAAAGCCTTATAAGGATCAGACCAACACACTGACTGTTGCCAAGGTATCTGCTAGAAGTGTGATTCCCAGGCAATAACTACAAGCAGTACATCACGAAGAAGAAAGAACAGCTTTGTGACGTACAGAGTGATGAGACAACTTCATGGATTTCCAGCTCGGATAGCAGCCGAGTCTTCTCTAAACTAAACAATCCCAGTTCCCTCAAACTTCCCTCATAGGAGAGGTGCTCCAGTCCTCTGATCATCTTAGTGGCCCTCCTCTGGACCCACTCTAAGAGCTCCAAATCCTTCCTGTACTGGGGGCTCCAGGCCTGGATGCAGTACTGCAGGTGGGGCCTCACAAGAGCTGAGCAGAAGGGGATAACCTCCTTCCACTCCTTGCTGGCCACCCCTTTTTTAATGCAGCCCAGAACACAGTTGGCCTTCTGGGCTGCAAGCACGCACTGCTGGCACATGTCCAGCTTCTCATTCACCAGCACTCCCAAGTCCTTCTGTGAGGGCTGCTCTCAAGGAGATCTTTCCCCAGTTTGTATAAATACTTGAGATGCTATAAATAAAATATACTATACTATGCTGTAAATAAAAATAACCTGATTAAAAAATTAAGCACAAGAAAGCCCCCAAAGAAAGCTAGCCCACCAGCTATCTTATACCAACTAAGAACAGTGTCTTTATTCTAATTATTCACACTTGATTCTAATTATTTACACTTCACAAAGGCTATGAGAGGAGAATGTAAAAGTCCTACTGTGTTCCCTGCTCACAGCTCTGGGCAGCTGTCCTCATATGGATGCCTGAGTCTTTCCAATAGTTTTCTGTAAAGTTTTAAAGAAATGAGCTGCAGTTATGAAGGCTTTGTCATGGGAGGTGGTGATTAGCAAGCATTTTGTTTAAAAGTGCCTAATGATCATGTAAGTGTTTGTTTACAACACTTTTCTGCTAAATGCCACAAATACCCAATGGCTCCTCAAAGTCATTTAGGTTCTGTGAAGTGAAATGCAGTTAGAGAATTTAGACCTTTTCTGTGGCTGGAGGCTCTTCTATCTGACAGGTTTTTCCGACTCACAATACACTCCTCACTCAACAAAGGTTTTACTTTTGACAGCAGTAGAGGCCAAAGGTTGAGGAAAATGCAACAATTACAGTTCTTAAGTAGTGACCACTGACTGCGTTTTTTGCAGGAGGTTCAGCACAAAGCAGCAGCTGATGCTTGCACATTCTGTGATCATTCCTCATGAGAAGACTTTCCTGCTTACTGGTTTTATTTTTGCAAGCCAATGAGATGTTGCAGGTGGGTGGATCTTTTTCTCATTGCTCTGAGGTCAGGCGCCAACATATGGACGAGCTTGCATCTGATTTTGGTACAACCAGTGTAAATTTAAGCGCAAGTGATCTCAAATAAACCACATATCCATGCGTAGCACACTGTGAAAGCAGCAGAAATCTGTTTTGCTTTTAAGAGATACTGCAGAGAAGACTGTCAGGAAGCAAAGCTGCTCCCTTGGGCAGCTCAGGGGACAGTGGAATGAGTCTTCAGCCCCATTAGCATGTCAGACATGGCTTGTTCTTGTCCCTCGGTCTCTGCGGTAGCCTGGCACTGCAATATGACCCTTCTCTCTGAACCACAGGGCAACTCTGCCTGCTTGCAAAGGCCACACAGTTGTGTGCTTCACTGCAGGCTTTGAAACCGCTGGGGACCTTGTGCTGTGGCTGAAGTTCTCACTTGTTTTCTTTTTTTTTTTTTTTCTTTTAGATTTTCCTGTAGGGGAGTACAATACCCTCCTGCACCAGTGGTGAGCCTGTGGCTCCACTAGACACATTTCATCAAGTGTATTACAGGTGTATTAACCTGTGCCTGGCTTTAGAGCTGATTTATTCCACACTTGCAAAAACCAAGAGATTCCCAGATGTTCAGAAACCTGAGTCCAGAAACCAAACCTGGGTCCAGACAAATGGTTTAAGACCTTCATTGCCTTTAGCTCAGAATTTCTGGCTGGAAAAAAGATAGAGGTACCTGGGCAAACACGGAGGCATGAGGACACGGAAACAGGACATTGCCTTGTCCTGCTTCACCCTTGTACCATTTGTGCCATGCAGAGACAAATCCTCAGACTTGCCAGAATTACATCCCTTGTAACCGGAGTGTGACCATGTGCCCAGAGACACAAACACAGACAAAGAGACACATGTGATCCTGCCCAAACTGTACTCATCCCTCTGCAGAAAAAATGGAATCCTTTATGCCACCTGTAGGGCTTCAGTTGAACACTAACCTGCTAGCCTCAAAATAATCCTTCAGCGCCAGGTAATTAAAGGTATTTTCCTGAACTACCTGACTAAATACCTGAAAGGAGGTTGTGGGGAAGTGGGGGTCAGCCTCTTCTCACAGTTAACACAAGAAAAAGGATAAGAGGTAATGGCTTTCAGTTGCATCAGGAGAGGTTCAGGTTGGATAATAGGAAGCATTCTCAGAAAGAGTGGTGAAGCAGTGGCACAGGCTGCCCAGGGAGGTAGTGGAGTCACTGTCTCTGGAGGCGTTCAGGAACCATGCGTATGTGACATTGAGAGACATGGGTTGATGATTGACTGGATGACCTCTAAGGTCTTTTCCAACTTTAACGATTCTGTGATACTATGATTCCCCTCCAGTGTGTATGGATTTCTTCATCTGCAGTGGTTCAGGACCAACCACAGAAGAGCAGCTCTCTTCCAATCAAAGCTATTGGCTTCTTGCTCATCCCACCATCAGTCAGAGCAGTTCCTCCAAAAATGAGGCATTATTTTACCCTTCAACAGCTGTACTTCCGTGACTCTTACAGCACGTGGAGGGAAGCTCAAAGTTGAGCAGAAGAGTTGTGTTGGCAGGTTGGATGTGTGAGGCATGTTTGCATGGCTAAGGGAGGAGGAAAAGGATGGGCAGATAGATTGTCCATAGGTATCTAGAATAAAAAACTAATAGCAGAGATTAAATGTCAAGCAACGCTGTGTGTCCTAAACTGGCCGGTGAAGATGTTTAGCCAGTAAAATAATAATTTTAAAAGATTTATTTTAGCATGTAATGTGTAGCCCATAATTCATAGAAATGCTTTCAGTTAAGTTGCATGTTTGCTGAAATCTCAGCATATTGTTAAAATGCTCTTGTCAGTAAGGATGGGCTTACCTGCTTAAGTGCTTTTCTAGGGAGAGGCTTCGATGATGGAGCATACAGTGAGGTTATTTTCCCTGAGGCAGCAGAACTTCCATTCACTTTTCACCTTCTTTTTCAACAGCCTGTTTATTTTCATTGAGCTCTGGCTTGAATTCCTGTATTTTGGCAATAACAGGGTTGACCGTTCCTCCGGTTGTTCTCCCCCAACAGAGTCACCTCTGAAGCAAAGTCTGTTTTTTGTACTTTCTGTGTTTGGAAGTGGGGGAGTGGAGGAGCTGCTGAGAGAGGTAACCAGTGGTGGTTACTAAATGTGTCTGCTTGGTTGAAAGTAAGCAAGCATACAGCAAGTATTAAAGGAAATAAAATGGATTCGTTGTTATTCCTGGGGGAATTCTGCGCTTAAGCTGATGCCCCAGAAACCCAGCTGGAACATTAAATGAAAGCCAAAGCCCCCCCACAAGCATGTCAGCAGAGAAAAGCTCCACACGGTGAAGGCCTTTGAAAATCAGAGCTGAAAAATAATATGCTATAAAAAGGAAAAATCCACTAAGAAAACATAAAGCAAGGAAATTAAAAGCACAGTAGGGACTGGCCACAGTACTTAAGTTGTGAAGGGTCTGTCAAGTAGAATGCAGTTAACACAAAGCCTGACTTTTTCACTGTACAAATATACATGCACACACTTTATGCAGAGTGGCCTTGAGCTTGCCTCAAGATCACCAACTGAGTTTTTAAATTAACACAGGGGTGCTCATACCCCCGTGCAGCATCCTAATGGCCTTCCAGAAAAGTGTTCTCTGCATACAAAAAAAGGAAGCTTGGTGCTTTCTTTCTCCCTTTCTTTCTCCTTGGAACTAACTAAGTAAAACATTAGGAAGAAGGATAGGTGCTGGACATTCAAAATGCAAAATGACATTACCTTTTATTTTCCTTTGCTTTTGAGGAGCTCCTTACCTCCTCATGCCAGATGATTCACATTGTTCTACATGGCAGAGAATTGCGTTTAGTAAAGGTTTTTCTTGACATGTAGATTTAAACACCAATGAGTCTCTGCCCCATTAAATTCAGTGAGGATTCATCAGTACAACACAAAGGACATGGCTCTTTCCTTTATGGGCCAGAGGACCAGCATGACCTAAACATAAAGCCTTGGAATGACAGACCTGGGAAGTTTTTCCAGTTCTAAAAATAGACACAGCATTAACAGGAGTTGCCCTGACTTACTACCTTGCTGTATGCTCCAAGCCCTCTCTGTGTGAGAAAATGAACCAGCTTTGTGTTCTCTCGGTCATAAGCCTCCTTGCTGAGATGTTGATGAGTTTACCAGATTATACTAATTCAGATGGTGTGCCACAGTGACCGTACATCTGGATTGACCATGGCAGGCCCCAGGTAATGCAGCTTGTTCTGATGTCCTGAAGGAAGTCTTTGAACACAGCTTTGTTCTGGGTTTTTGTTCTGGGCAGAGACTTTTCCTTACTTTCCTCTCCCAGGCTGCTATGGAGACCATTTAAACATTTTCAGAGGGTTGCACAAAATGATGGAAAGCATGTAAAATTTCTATCCCAGCTCCAGTGTCAGGTGTCCCCTTCAGGAAGCTAAAAGACATTCTTCTCATAACATACTCTGATCCATTCCTTATTAACAAACAAACAAACAAAAAACAAACAAAGCTGTCAGACTATAGTAGATCCATCCCGTTAAAGATATCTGTGCTACATAGTTTGACTTCTAATTGAGAGATACACAATAAGGGATATGACAGTGGATGTGGACACACACCTAACAACCAACGACCTGATACCACTGACCCACTTCATAAGAATTGTGAACAAGGCTTCACGTTTCAGGGATGTTTGGTTATCAGCTGTATTGCATGGGTTGATAGACTATTCACAATGTCAGAACTCAATTTGCAACCATCCAGTGATTCATCTGGATCACGAAAGTTTGTAATGTAACAGGAACCCTCGTGTGGTTATGAACTTACTGCCCTCAGTGTAAAACAAATAAGAAGTGAGGGACAATAATTGTAAAACAGTCTTCTAGAAACACTGATTCCTCAGATTCGCAAATTAATGCAGGCATAAAGACGATTAACTGTCCTCTTCTTTGCAGTTATTTCTAAGAATCCAAAACATGATATTAAGATTGCACTATGTGGAAGACATACCACAGAACCGTAATGACTCTATTTATATGAAGTGAAGTGTATTTCAAACTAATTTGGGCATCAGCTCAAGTCTGTCCTAGAATCTGACATGGAAAACATACTGAACAGTAAAATGTCTTTAATAGTATAAAATTATGGTGTGTATTCAACAAACTCCCAGTAGGTCTAAAAACAAGTTTTTTATCTATTTTTTAGTGTTTGTAGTGGAGTTATTTATGCGGTTTTTTTTGTTCATGAATTAAACTTGACATACCTTCATCTGCAGAGCACAGAAATCGATCAGAGTGTTTTAATGAAGTAGATAAGTATTTGGACAGTACACAACCTAAGAAAAGTTAGAGTGTTTAAAGAAAAAATGTTGGTTATTCAGAGAAATGAATCAATACTCTGCCAAATCTGCAATGAATCAACACCCCAGCATGAGGTTAGGAGTATCCATATTCTCAGTGTGTTGTCTTTTGGAGTAGGCATAAAAACTGTGAAAAAGCTGACTATTAGTCATTAAAGAACCCCAGGGAACTTTAAGCATAGAGATCTTGTGACAGATGGTCTGGGCAAAATCCTATCTCGTGTCCGATACTCATCTGCCTGTGTAAATCAGCACTGCAGCCTTGGCTTTGGTGATTGAGATTTGCATAAAAAGGCTCCCTAGCTTTGCCTGCCTAAATGGTCCCCTGTTCTTTTAATTGGTTATGCTACTCCTGTACTGAAAACAGAGCAGCTTGCAGTGTCTGTATTTAAAGCTGAGGGGAATTTAGTGTATCTTCTGAAAGTCTCCCTATTACCTGCGGTCGAGTTCTCTCTCTTATTTTCTACATGCTGTACGAATTTCCACAGGAGAAGGTGATACAAATACAAAGGCATAATCAGCTGACCTTTAAACAATCTGTTTTTGTTTATGTATTGGTAGGGAAATAAAGGGCTGAAGTGAATAAGAAATTCTACTCAATCACATTGTTAGCCTTTTAGT